GCGCTTGGTGATGTGAGAGCCTGGTCCGGTGAGAACCCGGCGTGCTCCGTCCCGGCTTTGTAGGGATGCGAGGTCAATTATCTAACGACTACGGCATGCACGCCCATGAGTACCCCCCCCCCCCCAGCTTCTCCGTAAACCACGATCGCATGTTCCGGGATGACGTCGCGGCTTGGAGGACAATACCAATACCCCGAGATACTCCTGTTCTGGCAAACACCCCGAGATTCTATTAGTACTTTTTGCCGTGCGTCCAATCATCTGTCAGTAGGGGGGTGGAAACTCGCCCAACGCGCCTCCCACCAACCCGACGCGGGTAGAATACAGACAGCAGTGTATGGGCCTCCCCCAATGTTTTCCCTACCATTCTTGATCTCATGACACGAAAGAAAACACACACACGGAACCGGCCACTATTGAATGATTGTGGTGTACGCTCCCATGTTGCACTGGTGACACGACCGGGAATGGTTTTCATCGAACGGTTGTGCAGGGATCCACAACACACCCACGCGACCTTTGCGTGCTCGAGAAAAACGTCGATGTTGTTGCATTCTCCGGCTCCTTCCAACAAACGTTGTTTCAATAATACTCAGATGTCCATGTCAAAATACTTTCGGTCTGCTGATATCCCATCAGAACACACACCCATGGATGCATAGAACGTTAGCTGGACATATCCTGACGAGAAATCAAACCCTTGCATATACCTCACATTGGCACCCTTGCACCACCGCCGTGATTTCAGCACTTTCTCTTCGGCAAGATGATAACCGGGAAATTTAACCGCAACAATCGTGCATTTTGCATCATCGCCTTCTTCGTTCGGTACATGGACGATTTCCTCACCGTAGTACAGGTGCATCCGGTTGAAGTAGTCCTTGCTGTAGTACTTGTCGCCGTACACCGCACGGCCGACGGCGCTCGGCACCCGCTGCAGCACGGACACCGCGTTGAAAAAAGTCTCCCTGTCTCGATCCGTCAGGGCCCGGATCTCCCGGCGCACGTACTTGACCGTCACCGCGAACTCGTACTCGAAGATCTCGCCGGCGGTGCTGGTGGTGGCGGCGACGGCAGAGTACGAGGTGGTGGAGTCGGATGTCACCACGCCGCCGTGGCCACCAGCGGCGGCGGCGGTCTCATGCTCGGGGACGGATGTCCTTGCCGCCGCCGTGTTGATTATGCTCGGGTTCTGCACTGTGACGACGCACTATTTAACACCGCAGTACGTACGGCGGGGGGGTACAAACGCGCGTGACACTGCTGTGGTACCAGCAGTCGATTAGGGTCCACAGACAAGAGGCGGCAAGTAGTGCAAAGCGAGGTAAACAACATATTCGCACGATTGAGAGCGAAGTATCTGATTGAGAGCGAGATCGTGCGATACGATGTAGCTTGTCTACTGCTGAGAGGTAGAGCTTGCTGTGCGGCTTGAATTGAAGGGCTTGCCCATAGCTACAAGCCGATGCCCGGGTCATCCTGCGGGTCTCTCGCGTTGTGGAGCTACACCGGGGCATCTCGCTCGTCGCACACGCCGGCAAGGTGCTGCTTAAGGTCGTCGCTACACGACTGAGCCACTACTGCGAGCGAGAGGGCATCCTCCCGGAGGAACAGAGCGGTTTCCGCCCACACCGGTCGACGCTCGACATGCTGTTCGCCATCCAGCGGCTCCATGAGCTCGCGAGGAAGAAGAGTACTGCGGTGTTCGCGTGCTTCGTCGACCTCACCAAGGCATACGATTCGGTAGACCGAGACCTGCTGTGGGACGTACTCCGACGCTTCGGCGTGCCCCCGAAGATGCTGGCGGTCATTCGCCACTTCCACAAGGGCATGAGGGCGCGCGTCCGAACGGACGACGGGCAGTACTCGGAATGGTTCGACGTGGGCCAAGGCCTCCGACAGGGATGCAACCTGGCCCCGCTGCTGTTCAACTTGTTCTTTGCCGCGATGCTCATGGTCGCCGTGGCCGAGTTCGACAAGGACCCCAAGGTGACGGCGGACATGGTCAAGATCGGGACACAAGTGGAGTACACGGGCAAGAAGGGCAGGTCGGCGGGGAAGAAGACGACGGTGGTGACGGACGCGGAGGCCTTGTGGGCCATGCTCTACGCTGACGACGCGGCCATCGTCTCGCGCTCGCCGGAGAGTCTCGAGAAGATGATGTCGGTCATCGTGCGCGTGGCCGGCCTGTTCGGACTGATGGTGTCGGAGCCAAAGAC